ACATTGTTTCTAAAAACAGTGATATTCCTTTTCGTACCAATGACCTGCTTAGTTGGAATCCCTTAGCAAAGACCTAACGTTTCGACCAGAACGTCATACTTAGGGACTTGAAGGTGGCTGAAGAGCGGAAATTTGCTCTCTGAACCTATCCTCTTAGCGTTTCCGACAGATCTTTGGGGAACCGGCTGCACAGCATTGACCACTGTTCAAGCGGAATGGGCTCGTCAATCATTGACAAATTATGTGAAACTTACCGTTAGTCAGCCATGGATAGCTTCACTGAAGTCTCTAGGAGCGTGTCAGCTTGGTTTTGGCTCGACGCCAGTGCGGCTACGGGCGCTGAGTGGTGGGATAGGGGTCGGCGCCGTGCCAAAATCCACGCCCGTGGCACGTTCGACTGAGTTCAGTGATAACAATTCAGTAGCTTGAGACAGGAATGGCACGTCTGACGGCCAGTCTAGCTTCTGGTGCGAATGCCGCGCATGTACGCCATCTGCGATACATCTGCGATGCATCGCTGCAACATGGGTCTTTCAGACGGCACTCTTGAGCTTCTCCTCTCATGCTTAGATCACGCATTGATTTTCTAGATCGAAATTGAATGCATGGCGTACCTCGACAGGAAGTTCATCAACTTCAATTGTCTTATTCTGTATTCCTATGAGCCGCGATTGTTTTTCGAGACCAATCTGCCAGCCAGCTAATAGATTCCACTAATCGGATAGTCTCAGCCTTCTGGAAAAGTCAACGCTAAGATATATTAGCTCTCACGCCTTGCTGAGCAAAAAGTCGAACGCTAAGATACAATATCCGTTTTCGTCACTCAATATCCTTTGGAATCAAATCGCAGCAGGAACTTTATGGATGAGCGTTTTTGTTTCGAAGTGAGAGGAAGGCATAATCCTTTTCTCTACTTTTAGATCGACTTTTTCACCTCTTTCCATTTGTTTATAACCTTTCCAGGAACATTTACAAATGTTTTCAATTAGGGACTGCTGTTCAGATGCATTTGTAAAGGTGTACAGGAGATAAGCCGTCTTTGTTAACTGTTCTTGTTTGATAACAGTTCAAACAGTTACTGACGCGCAGTTCGTCGAGGTGTGAGTGGAAGAAAGCCTAGGGAAAGCGCCACAAAGGTATATCGTCGAGTGTCACTAGGGTCTGTGGACTGTATTTTGACTCAAAATTTTCCTCATAGCTAATTTCCTCTAGTCTCAGCGAGCGCTATGATAATCCCCTATTCGGGCAAACCGCGGCGGGGCAACTTCACTAATTTGATTAATTGATCAAGAGTGTTCGTCATGTTCCCCATATCACGGCGTCGTTGAATATTGAGACTCAGCAGTCAAATTCGAGGAAACATTTCCCTCATATCCGATAATGCGTTTTAAGAGCAGGGTACGGCTAACAATAGCAATTGCCTATCGATGACAGTATGTATGTTGCAGGATACATCTATATCCTGAGGCGGTGGGAAGTCACGATATTTATCTTGCAAGCGGTGCGCTTCAGTCAGTCGCTGGGGACAGCGACTTCAGTCAGAGACAAAGATAACGTTTGGCGTAATGAGGTGCTTCATTACCCCCTTTGCGGCCTCGTGACTAACCTATCATCGAGAACTGCGAGACGCCAGCATTTCGGGAGATGTGCCGAAAAACGGTTGTGAAGTATGGGCAACCGATTCTTCGCGATTTTGATGGGAATGCCACCAGATGAAGAGGTGCGCTTTTATTTGCGAATTGCCAAAAAAAGTATAAACTCAGAGAGGAGGACGTAAAGAGGAGATGTCTATACAAACCTCCCCTGATCTCTACTCCCTCTCTCTCTTCTCTCCTCTCTCCTCTCTCTCTCTCCTGCCTCAACCGGGGCACAATACCCTTTGCCAACAAAGACTCCCAGCAACGTAGGCACAGGGCACATAACTTTGTGTTGGGGATTCAAGTGGACAGCTCCCGGACGACCCCCCCCCCCCTTCTCATTTTGGGAGGGGGCGGGGGGGGGCTGGTACGGCAGATTGAGCAAGTACGCCCCCCCCCCTTTTAAATAGTTCCGGCTGAAACGAGAAAAAATCAACTATTTCGAAATAAATTATCCTCACGCTCACTCACTCTCCCCTCTCATGGCGGCACACCAAATTACGACCTTTTCCCCGATTCTCCTGGTGTCGGTTCCCAACAGCGATGTGCCCTTACGTAGTATACGCGCTTTTCCGCCTTTAGGCCAGCCTCAAAAAGGCGCGAAATCTTCCATCAATAAAAAAAATTCCATAAGAGCACGACTTCTTTCCTAGGAAGCGGATACAACCCACTACTGGTGTGACTGTGCACAGGGTACACTTGCCCTGACAGCATGAGACCCACTTTCGGGTTCCGCCTGAAGCAGAGAGGTTTGCCTATCACTTAATCACTTCCCGTATTTGCGGGGCGTTTTCTGCTTGCAACCGCGTGATTTCCTAGCACCCAAAGGAAAATCATGACCTTCTGTTTCAGTCTTTCTACTCATCTACCTCAGATTAAGTTTCATATGATTGGTACTCAATTCACGAAGAAACGTCTTCAAAAGGGCTATGGACCAAACGTAGATATGTGCCCGGTAGTGCTCTCATCCGGCCCGCTGCGCGACGGGGCTTCCGCGGATACGGTCCGCCAGTGACGTAACTCCCCCGGCACCCTCGTGCAGGTCGCACTTGGAAAGGTCCATGAATAAATACTCAAGGGCGCTCTGTACTTGCTAACATAGGCGACAGATGGACAGCAAGCCCGGCATGACGTTATGCGCTAAGTGTTGACTCCACACATTTTGCTAAAACTCAAAAGTACCCTGAATAACGATCGCTCAACTTCCGGCAGCCATGCGCTGCTCTGTCGAGAACTGTACTGGTGGGGGCGAGCTGCGCTGGCGGGCAGTTAGACCTGAGACGTGCAGGGAAAGGCAAGTGTTCCAGTCAGGCGAACACTTTTGATCGAATGAAACCGGTGACCGTTGTGGGAAAGCTTGAGGGAATAGGACTAATTATCATTTCATCCCATTCAAAAGGTGCCGCCTGCTTTTATTCGTAATAAAACGCAAAGAGGAGATATGATAAAAGAAAGTAATTATTTTGGCTTCAAATGAGTAAATCCCCATCCCCACCAATGACCCCACTCCAGTGCCCCGAAGTCCTTTGGACCTCTGGTACCTTCGATTTTTCAACAAGTGCGAGTAAATTGCTGGTGATGCCAATTTCGGCGAATGACAAAACATTGTAGCGCTTGCCGTCGGAGAGTACACTCGACTGACGAAGAACAATAGGAATTGGTGCTTGCTTTTATGTCGCGCCTAGTGAATGGGCGCGATTGAACCAGCGTCCAGTATTTTTATTGGCCCTAGCACTACCCTTACAATATAGTTTGCTCGGGTCTGCGCACTTATGACGAGCAAACGTAGACCTCTCTTGTAGTGTGGGTGTAATCTATCCCGTCTGTCGATATGAGTGCCCAGGAAACGGGCCCCAATAATTACGCCGACAGACAACGATGTTAACTCTCTTATTAGCAGCCGCCTGAAAGCCACAAGCGTAGGGAATCTTCGCTAAGGTGATCACCCACTTGGGCCCACGTAACTCCTCATGGCAGAATTCGGGCGGCCTCTCATCTGCATTAATACAAAATTGACGACTGCGAGTTTCGAGGACCAAGATCACCCAATTTCATCTAAGGCCGGGATGCGTTTTCATATTCGTGAAATGACATCTCATGCCGAGAACATTACGTCATTACTCTTAGAGGCATAGAATAGGTACTGCGTTCGTGCTTCTACAAGAAAATTAGGTACCCATGCGCACACCCTCTTGACCATCCTCAGTTTATCGGACATAACTCGGGCAGCAGTTGCAGCTGGGATGTCAGACTCGCGGGTCTCGACAAGTGTCCCGGCTCTGGGATCAGACATTCAGCGCTTGACTTCATCACCCTTTTTTCTTGTGCAGGATGAACATTATGGGACCACCCACTCCTATCCAACCTATGACCTGGCGCAGGTCAAATTTGAGCAGCGCACTTTCCTCTTATGACGTCTGATTTGAAAACCGGCGCTGATTTTCACCACTCGGGCTTCTTTTCAATTTCTCGAGAACTTCTTCTGGGCTAGGTTCGCCAAATTTCACAGATACACAGCTAAGGTACTAGCTTCCAAATGGTATAGTAGCCCGCTGCTCTATCCCCTTTGCTTTTCTGCCATTCCTCTATATGTCGGCACTTTTGAATGGGATGACCTAATAGTTTACAGGCTCACTCCATGTATGCTGATTGTAAGGGCGTAACCGGACCTAGAACTGCTTCTTCCTCATTGGTGCACCCCTATTCTATCGCTCTAGAAAAGTGCACCAGTGGATAAAGCAGAACAGTCAACCATCTCCGCCCAGATGACCAGAGCTGTATACGCCTAAGAAAATAAATGGTTCCTGGTTAAAAGGAAACACGGCTGTGTACAATTTTATTGACTGGCAGAAACACAGAAAGCTAAACACCGCGCACAAACACTCACACCCCTTTAAATATCACAGTAACTGACTCAGTATGTATAGTATTTACAATGAATACAAGAATACAACAAAAGACTATCGTTGAAAAAATGTAATCTTCACGAAAAAGGAAAGAGACGGTCGTGCGACTTACAAAAGAAAAGTTAGACATTAAAAAACAGACATGGAGAAGTTTACGGCACAGTCCACGTAGGACAGGAGGCGGAGTGACGTCGCTAGCATCATTGGTGGAAGTGAGCTGGTCCACATGTGCCAGCTCGCTGAGACTTATGGGTGCCAGCTCTTAGACGTATTACCTAGCGTCCTCCACCAATGATGCTAGCAAAGTCTCCCAATCTCCTATCCAACACTGACTGCGCTTTTAAGTGACCCAAACAGTAGCGCAAGATCTACTCCGTTGAATTGAGTAGATCTTGAATCTCAGCTTCCCACTGTTCTTCCGTCTTCTCGTTTCTCTCAGCCACCAGTTCGTACTCGTTCAGATCGGAGAGAGGATTTCACGCTCCCAGTCATCATCTAGATCATCACAATATAAGCATCATCAACTGGGTGATGAGTAAGTAACCTGTCAGGTTCTTGTTGGTGAGGGCGAGGTGCACGAGATTAGCTAGGCTGAGACTTCACTGCCTGAGAAAACTTCATTGAATTACAAGTTTACCAAGCTGCTTCGAGTAGTATAGGAGAAAAGGACTATTCAAGTACACTAAGAGTGCACTCCCACCAGCCCAAGGGAAAAGCTGGAACAAGTAACACGTTACACCTCGTGTTCACTGCAGATCGAGGGGCGTGTCATCGAGGCTGAGTTTGGCGCGGCGTCGCGCAAAAATCCAGCCTCGCTGAGACCCTTGGTTCATCCACAGAACAAGGCTGTATCGCGGTCTTGTAGGTACCGCTTAGAGAAAGATGACATTAATTGACGTCACAAAACACACTAATGATGTGTCGAGACGTCACTGACAACGCTCTGAACGTGCTTTGCGGCAGGCCTAATCCTTAACACATTGCGGACCGCCGTACTGCGCACATCTCCGGACCATTTCATCATTTTTCATCAGTAATTCATCAAATATTTCCCACCTCTTATCAATCGCTTATAAGGTTAGTATATTCCGTAACCGAGAATGTTATTTTTTTGACAACATTAGAAGCATGAAAGAAAAGCCAAATTGATCGAATAAAACACCGCATGGGACAAATTCATGACACACCATGTGTGTCACGCGGTCCGGAACGTGAATATGTAAAACTGGACTCATGCAACTTCTGCGCCGAAATCTCGCTGGCTGAATATGGCCCCTACCCACTCGAAGAAATTCCTCATTGATGATGTGCTCCGAGTGGGTTGTCAGATTATTGCCCTGCATGACTGACAATGAGGGCAGAGCATTTGTTAAAGTGAAAAATTTTTCCTGGAAGGACTTGCAAGAGGCAGGGAAGTACTAATTTAAGATTTGCACCTGAGGGGTAACTTCATCTACCGACTTACTTTCACGAATTACGAAAAAAAGTAAAGAAATTGTAAGCGAAAGTTGATGATACCTACCGACTTGAGTACTACATTCCCCAGTTGACGTGTCTTTTTCTTCAGCGCTTTTTTCGGAACCTTTATCAGCACTCGTAGTGGTTGGTACTTGATCACCACCCTTGAAAAAAACGCTATCATTCTAATACAACATTCCGTTGTTCTATCAAAAATACAATGAGTCAAATGATGACTGAGTTCTATGCGATTATTAGGAATGAGAGGGGGAGGTGAATGGCACGACTTTTCCACAGTGGAATAAACCACAGATGACTTTTCCAGTTCAAAAGGTCCACGCAAAGGCTTCCATGAAAGCCTGCTCACCTCAGCTGCTGCCATCTTCTCCGGCTCTACCGGTGTCGCTCTTCTAGCCGTTTGCAATTCTGATGCACTCGCACTTATCGAATGTCTGATCAGTGACACGCGATAGAAATAATTTCGCCAGAATTTCTCTTCGCTCAACCTGCAAGCACATGCATCAGGAGGAGCTTAATAGTTGTCCGATATAAAGTCAAGGGACCCACTTCTTGGGCACCAGCTCAAAACGAACACGGCTCAAGTTCGGGTCAATATCCATCAGCCGTCTGGCCATCGCCTGTTGTGTAGCCATATCGAAGTCACAGTCTCCAGGTGATTCACGAATGAAGTTGTGAGGATCCTGAGAAGTAAAATGAGCAAATGTTGAACAAAACTACTAAAACGTAAATGAAATAATGTCAGCCCTGAGAATAACAAAAAACTGCAGAAAAAGTCAAACATGTTAAATCGGCGCTGAAATCACTTCAGTCTTACAGCTATAGCCTTGTTCGCTGCGAATGATGGGGCGTGTCAGGCGGGATGAGATTGGCGCAATGCCAAACCCGTTTTGCACCATTTTTTGAAGCGAGCAAGCGAGAGGCAGTCGTTTTCCACCAGTAATTGTCGCTTAATCGCTTCACAAAGTGGTGGAAAGTGAGCTGGCAGCGCGCCAAACCCAGCCTCCGTGTCACGCCCATCATTCGCAACGAATAAGCTGTATAAAGTAAAATTAAAATCATACTGTAGCAGATTTCAACTAACATTTATATCTACGATTACCAGTAAAAATATTAGGGTATTTACACATTCGAGGCGAAGGCCATTTCGCCCAGAACTCACGTTCGTTCGTTGTTTTTGGCTTATTTTTACAATTTTTTCTTCGTACTGATGTGTTAATTGTGTAAATGTATGCTAGTAGAATATAATCAGTCGCAAAAAGAACAAAAAAATATGCGCGTGTTTTCGCAATACTGTACGAATGACCGAAAACAGGGGTTTCCGCGTGTACTCCCGGGAGTACACGCCGCCTCGAACGTGTCAAAGGCAGTTGGCACGATGGTTTCCCACTCGGCCTAAAATGCTAGTAGGGCGCTATGTAGTGGGGAAATGGCGAAAGAATCCTGCGAAGAAAAAGCCTCCGTTCTCAGTGACTTGTGAACCGATTTCGGACGAGTTTCCCGTAGGCATCTTACCAATCACCGCTACCGAAGATACGGCTGCTGCATATGTGTACCCATGTATGCATGCAGCATCACGGCTGCTTCATACCAATCCCTTTGGTTCATAATTTGCTCAGCAAATGAATGAATACGAGCGTCAGGAACGGTCGCGTTTGTGGGCGGGCGGGGTGGATAAGGGTTTGGGACGGAATGTGTTGGCTCGATAGGCTATAGAGGTACCCTCCTTGGAAAAGGCGCCGCGGAGCGCCTGTCCGAGGTCACGGAATTCTGCTAAGCCAGTCGTACAAATCCTACATCTGTATAGCAATTTATCGTGCCAACTGTCTTTAAAAGAAGGCGCCACAACCTTGGAGGAGCATTCACAGGGCTCCTTGCGCTAAACTGCGATTAACGGCATTCGAGCAGAAGCCCCAAAGCCCATCACAATAATAGTCTTGCACAAGTTGTCTTTGAATGCCTCCATGTTAAATATCACCCGAAAACTGTTTTTCTTACCAGAGATAGCGCCAGAATTTTCTTCTTCGCAAACTCTCGATCTGGCAAGCCATCCCATGGATCCACAACATCTGGTAGGCGGCTGGCAGCTATTTCTTCCACGAATGCCTCCTGCTCGCGGTCCAGCTCTCCAATAATCGTCTGAAAAGTGATGAGCCATAGAACCGAACACTTAGTTTGGCACTGCTGATGAGTTTTACTTCAGGTAATCAAGAGTTTTTTTTACTTCAACCCTACTTTACCACATTCTGTCGCAGCACGAAGTCACGAGAAATCCATAATTTTGAGGATTGAGAGCATTTCTCGGAGCCAAAGCTAGTAACGCTACTTTCTTCTACGGAAGAAGTAAAAGTAAACTGGAAAAGAATCATACTCATTCATACTCACATTTTCGACAACCACGTTCTTCACAGCCGCAATTCCTTTCGTAGCTTTGGCGGTAGTGTCCTTTGCATAGAGTAGTAATTTTGCTTAAAAATAATTGTGAACAGCTCTTCATAACGAATCCCAATTCAGATAGAGACTGCACGACCTACGTCTATCTCAGAAAAGTACAGTGTTGGTCCGAGAAAATTATAGTCAGTGTAGATTTTAAAAAAATATCACGTATTTGCACGATCAATGTACAGTGATGTCCGCTGCGGATGCTAGGGTGTGCCGGAAAGGTTTTTTAGGCCCGGAATACAACTGGATGGAAAACCTGCAGATGCCGCGCCATCCCCATCCCCTGACACGCCCAAGCCTTCGCAGCGAGCAAGACTGTAGCACACGTAAAATGGCGCTAAAATCGCTAAATTCTTGATCGAAAACATCTTGGGGAAATCTCGAGGAGGAAACTGCATCAAAAAATTCTCTGGGCTGCATGGTAGAGCACTGGTTAGCTCAGGCCGCTTATGAGAGACTAACAAACTCACAAGCTAGCGCTTTGCCCTTTTCCTGTAGGTCGTCAATGGTGACTTTCTCAGCGTGTTTCGTTTGGTGTTCCAGATCTGACAGCTCAGTCGACTGCTTATCACCAGAGGATTGGTTGTCAACTTCCGCATTTCCTTTTATCTAAATGGTTTCTATTAGGTAAAACAAACACAGTTACGGTACCTCCAACTATCCTTCATTTCCTAGTTCGGAACAAACGTTCAAAATAATCACCTTCAATAGAAAATATATGAACGGGAGGCTGTTTGGACGCGCTGACTTTTGGCTGCGAGCTCATTTTTAACACGTTGACGACAATCGCGTTTTGCGGGAAAGCGCCGCTTGGGACAATGGCGTGTTTTCGCATGCGTCCGCTTTGAGCCACCGGTGGCTCATATTGTCCCTCGTGGACCACTTTTTTGCCGCTATGTCAAATTTCGCAAAATGATTAGTCAATCAGCTTTCAATCATCCTTGATCCTATTGGATGCCATCTCATGCCCCGCCCACTGCGATCATGCCCACTTTTTGGCGTGATCGTGATTTCCAAAATGTGTGCCGTTAGCTTCTGTTTCTGAGAAGTTCCTTGGAATTTTCAGCTTTTCACGCATTACAATGCGGCCACACCCGAACACCTAAAAGGACACGCCATAGTCGGTGTCAAAAAAAATCGCTGGCGCCGAGGTGGCGTTCGCTGGTGCCAGGTGGCGCCAACACTGGATGACAACGCTATTCGTGACAAGGATGTCAAATAGCCTAGTTATGAAGGTTTCCATCGCATTCGCTGCAAAAGACTGCTAGCGCCGAAATGGCGCCTACTGGCGCCAAATAAGATCTCACGTTAATGATCAAAACCCGGCGCAGTCCCTGCAGCCAAGGTTCCGTCTAAAAAGAACTATTTTGGAGGATTTCTGCCGCAGCAGTAGCTAGTTGGAAAGTTTCAATTTTTAATTCAAAAATATCTTGTGAGGCAGCAACATTTTTCTTGCTCATCCCTGTTGGACATTCACCTTTCACAGGTTATTCGAAAGCAAGAAAAAGATCGATTGAGACTGCCGGCAATAACCCGAAAAGTGATGGAGAAAGTTATGACTCACTGGTGGCCCAAACTTTCCCACGTGGCCACTCACTTAAGAGCCACCGGTGGCTCAGATCGTCCACGTGTTAAAGTGCCTAAATCGACGAATATGCTGAAAACTTGTATGGAGGTAATCTAACATCCTGATTGCGACTACGACATTCATTCTTGGCGCAGGTGCTAAAGTAGAACATCATCGCAGTGTCCTTCATTAGCGCCAAGAATGAATGTCATATTCGTGAACAGGATGTTAGATGACCTCTATACACAAGTTTGGCACTATTCAACTATTACTACCCCAGTTTTGCGAAAACAGGCCGGATCTTGATCGACTTTTTTCTACGGGGGTGGATTTGGCTGAAAGTTGGGTTCTAGGGGTAATTCGACCTCCTGAACACGAATATCACATCCACTTGGCCTGAAATTGCCTGGCGCCCGCGCCATAGGCGCCAGTGATTTGGGGCATTTTGGCGCCGGCGCCCGTAGCGCGGACGCGGAGCGGTTTCAAGCCGAGGGAATGTGATATTCGTGATTAGGAGGTCAAACTACCCCTAGGTACAAGTTTTCAGCGGATTTCGTGATCTAGGGTACTTTGGCGCCGGCGCCTGTGGCGCGGGCGCCAGGCGGTTTCGAGAGGAGCGGATGTGATATTCGTGTTCAGGAGGTCGAATTACCCCTAGAACCCAACTTTCAGCCAAATCCACCCCCGTAGAAAAAAGTCGATCAAAATCCGGCCCGTTTCCGGAAATCTGGGGTAGTAATAGTTGAATAGTGCCCAAGTTTTCAGCGGATCTGGTGATCAAGGTACTTTAGAATGAGCTCGCAGCCAAAACTCAGCGCGTCCAAGCGGCATTAGCCCAAGAGGCTGGAACCAGTGTGGTCAATAAAACGAAGTCCATAAGTGAAACGCCACATCACCAAGCCTTTAACCCTGAGAATGACCGAACCTTTTCATGGAATGAGTGGAAAATGTGCTCTGCGAGATGGCTATTTTCGAACCTTGGTAAAAATAAGTAAGAACCTAATGTGAATATACCGGAAACTTTATGAACAATCATGCCACGGCTCCTCAAGCGTTCGCTCCCTCGTTGGCTTAACAACCGTTCCTCGGATCCTTACCAAGCTGCATCAAACTTGTTCTAGCCAACTGATCTTAACCAGGGTTAGAAGGTGAGACAGGGGCAAATGGAGCAGCTTGTCACGCGCGGTTCTTAAGATCATCCATCTAGAGAAATGTAAAAGGTACATGACTACTAGTCACGTCAATTTTGCTGAAAATCGAAAGATCAAAAAGGTAAAAAAATTACCTTCTCCTCCTCTTTCTCGCTGACAGGAAAATCCTCCTTTAGTGAAGCATCGATTGATGTCACCACTTCACTGACTCGTTTCTTGAGATCGCTTAACAGCCAAGCCATACTAGTGAGTGAGTAATTTGGAGCAGACCTCAAATGAAGTATTAAAATGCACCTCCCAATGCAAAGCTACTGAGAGCGATTTCAGTGCACAACTTTTAGCGAAATTTCGTGCCCAAACGTTCATTTTCTTGGAAAGTAAGTGAGTAGCTATTTTGCCCAACTGGCACGCGGGACCGTGTTCACACTGTGAGATTGTGGGAAATCCGCCTTATGGGCGAATAGGCTCGAAGGAATCAATGAAAAACAGTGCTTGTCCGGCCGCTGAAGAAAGTTCCTGCAAAATACGGTCCCCCACAAACTCCCTCCATTGTTACGATCCCCTTCCCCAACGTGCTTACTATCTCACCAGCTTCCTACTCTACGTCCCCCTCCAACGACCATACGCTTCCCCCCCCTCCCGCTGGGAATTCCCCAACGCCCCAAAAGTGCACGCGAAAAGGGATTTGATAGGGATGGATCCACTTCACTCATTGACAAATTGAGCGTTCTCACGATTGGCGCATTAATCAAAACGCTAGTAGGTGGAGTCACTTCATCGCCCACTCCTCGCAGATTCACCAGATCTACACGTGCCTTCTTCTGCGCTTCTCGAATCATACAATCTCCGAAATCGCGGATTTTCACATTCGCAAAGTAAGAACGTGGTCTTATTACATAACGAAGCTAACGGACTATAAATAAAACTTGAAACTGATGAAAAAAAGTAAAATAGTTCTCGCATCAACGAGTTTCCAATTCATTATTAAAACGTATGAACAAAACTCTTTCATTATTACACAAGCACAACACAAACGTTTCGTTGGCACATCGCCAATAAATTAGAAATGCACATCTATAGCATATAAATTATCACAAATTCATCACGAAAATCCATTAAATTTTCACAAAAAAAAGTTCGAATGGATATCATTCATGGGTCAAAAAACTTATACATTTAGAGTTACAGTGAAATTCATATGGCTATATCCTGACTTACCATGCTGAGAGAAGAGTCATAATGAAAGGAGCGAATGAATGGATTTGAAAGGACTTTGAAACGCATTGGGGGGGGGGGGAGGGAAGGGGAGCATTGTTTCACAATGCTCCCTTTCCTAACCAAAACACGCTGAGGATTAAACAGTAGGCGATATGAGTCGCAGCGGGCCATGCTTGCATAGCGACAATCCCTACGCGACATTAACCGTCTGCGCTCTGAGCCTGGGCCTTGGTGAGAGAGAGGACACCCAAGCAATATGGAGTGTCCGCTGCCATCCTCCCCCCCCCCAACACATTATTGCCGACTTTGGTAACTGATGAACAGCTTAGGAGGTACTCGGATATGTCTTACAAAGTTGAAGAGTTGGACGAGTAAACTAGATACAGCTGTTCTGTGCGGATTAGACGCGCGCGGCTGCAGAGCGAGCGAGTGACTTGACCCTTTAACACATGACGTCATAAAAAATCGCTATAGGAATCGATTTCTATGAAACGAGTGATCCTCGAACGCTACGCAGCCGCACTCGTCCGCGACCTACACATTGCACAACCCACCGCAGTATAATTCTAAATCTGACGAAACACGCATAAACGGCACATTACTATCGAATAAGGCACAGACGAATTGCTTTGAACACATGCACGAGCAATATCGAAACACGCTGTGAAAGTGCAAAGTAATACTAGAAGTATTGTGATTATTCAAAAGAAATAACGGTGAACCTGAAAATCCAAATGCGAGCGCTACAAGTTAAGAAAGAGTGGAATCAAATATGGAATCATCAACGGGGAAGCGGTCAATTGAAACCCAACGGTAAATAGTAATGAGGCGCGATTCGGTTTGGTGGGGGCATTTTGCTGGTTCTCATCGATCATTACCGACGTCTCCTGTGAACCCTGTAAACTTCTGTAAAGCTATGCATATCAGTAGCTTCGATCACAGTTGACAAGAGCCTACAGGTCTCACCAAGGTGAGACCGCCAGTTCAGCGGAAAGTAGCAAAGAATTTACGCAAAATGTCCCTCCCAAGCCGACAGCGCAGAAAAAAAAAACAAGTAAAGCAAACAGCAACGGGTTTAGTATAGCCAAACACATACAATTAATTCAGTTCAATTGTTGAACATCATGCAATCCCTGGACCGCACAACTCGCGTCTAAAGTCCCTGCCTTATACAATGTACCCTCGATTAGTTGCTCCTGCGAAATCATCCCAGAATTACACAAGGACTTAGCAGGAACAAATTACATGGATCTTTTCGCTATGAAATGCCGAATATGGCAACATCCTTTCTATAGGCACACAAGCTGCGCAGTGCTACCACTCGCGGTTCCAGATGCGGTACGGTGGTCAGCAAGGCACCGCCGCGGAACAGCACATCGGCCCATGCAACCAGCTGATCTGAAATAAAACCTTCAACTGAAAAGAAATAATAGGGTGGGTTTCTCTAATATAGTTCTCGCTGCCTAGCGAAAAACCACATTCTTTCAGCTCTGAGGGCACCCCCACTGCAGTGCATGTGAACGTACGCGTCTTCGCAGAAGTGGTGTCAGAAAAAACTTAGTATTCCTACTATAAGTGATTCGGTAGGTTTGTTCGCCTGTTCATGGGTCCAAAAACTCAGTTTACACCCTGAGAACAACCTAAAAGGTCCGGTCAAGGTTGATATAAAAGCAAGCAAAAGGTGGATCTTCGCGTGACAAGATGTACGCTCACATGATCTATGCTAAAACCCGCCATCCAACAAGTGGCGGGAAATGCGCCGAAAGTGAGCGGTGTCACGGATGAAAATTCACTGCTTGATTCCACAGCAGCCCAAAGGGGGTCGCAAAGCTTCTTCAACAGGTACTCACTTTCTGCTAGGGTCCAGAAATATGTTGCCGCTCTTCTAACAAACCATTCAAAAGGAAAAAAAAATTAAGAAAGAGGGGAGAGATGGAAGGAAGCAAAAGAAGGAAAGATAAAGAAAAATCAAGAGGAGGAAGACTTCGCGTTAGTAGATATCCTGAGATCCCACAGAAGAGAAGAAAGTGAATCAAGATTAGGAAGGGCTGACTGAAGGAGGAAATGAGGAGAGGGTGCACACCCAAAAAGGGTGGAGCCTATACGAAGTGGGCGGTGTTTGCCACGAAATTCGATCCTGTCAGAATCAAAACTACTGCGAACAGAATTTTGAAAACAAGTAACAGGTTGATAGATTGAACAGTCTAATTTTGATTCAGACTATGTCCAGACCATGGCTTTGATTAATAGAAATTAGTGCTCTCATAGGAAAAAATCGAAAAAGCGAATAATCCAGAAGATAACCCAGTCACTTACCAGTCGCTGCCGATGGGAACTGGGCTATCAGCTCTCGGAGGTAATCAAGGATATACTCAAGAAGTGAGGCATTCACAGGTGGCAGTGAAGAAATAATTTTCCATAAACTAAAACTGATACCTTTTATTACGGAACTATCAGAAGCGCTAAAGATTAAAAAGATTCGGAAACTCGAGAACCTTTCCCGAAAAAATTCGCTAATGAGGACCAAAACAAAACCATCAAATAAAAACAAAGAACTGAAGAACGTACGCTGTCGGATCATTACTGGCTACCCGTATCTCACGAAGTTGACTGGCCGGTATCAAAGGTTCTAAAAAAACAGCAAAGAGAGATTGCATAACGTCGTAACTTCCAGGGAGACGGGCAAGAGAATCGTAAATTGCCGCTTCGCCGCGCGCGGTAATGGGCGCGACGTTTTCTTAATTTGCGCTACCCTTTCGATTGGAGCATCGGATTTTATGTAGACAAGGACGTGGTGGGTACTTCTGTCAATTTTTGGTCACAGTAAGCTATTCCCGACCAATACCACCTGAAACCGTCGTCATTAACAGGCTCGAAGTCGCACGCGACGCCCAGTGGCGAATTACGATTCTCTTGCCACATACCCGCAAATTCCTTAAGGCTAAGTGTATCAAATAAACTAAGAGAGCCAACCTTTCAGCGTATCGATCAACCTCATCAAAGCGCTGTATAAAGCCACTGGAGGCACTTGCAGTTCCGCTAAAAATGATTAATTTTGAGGTGTCATCCATGGCTTCATGAGAAGTGAAGAGAATAGAAGTTCAGGCAACAAGTAACAACATGATCTCATGGCGGTGAAGAAAGAAGGGCAATCAGCGCGAGCCCTTCCCTTGAACGGCTGCGATCCTTCAACAAAATCCAACTACCCACAAAATTCACAAAATTTAATTCCGCCTGGGAACCTTAAATGTTCGCTGAAAATTTTTCAACATTTGCGGAACCCTCTCACAGAGAAGGATAAAAATTTCCTCCCAGCGACTCAAATACGGCCTGTTCGCTGAAAACCCTTCAACCTCGATGTGCTTTGTGCAGCTCGGATACTCAGGTCCTCTTTTTGCATGTTTCCAGAAACATTGGCCTGGATTCGGAATGAGTTCTCACGCCCAAGAAAGTCCTTAGCCGCTGTTGCCTTAGCAATCTCAAAAAGTAGTAATTCCATTTGTGAAACACTTTTTTGCATGCGCTGATTCGACGCTCCAAGCGCGGCGCAATATTTCAATTTAAAGGCAAGTCGCGCGATCAAGAATGGTGGGCATTGAGAATAGAGAAGAAAAGAGGAGGAAAAGCACTTTGAAATAGTCCAGATAGGCACCCCTGACCAGAGCTTGTACGAGCATAAGGCAGAGGAAGAGGGTGTTCCCGGACGAGTTCTCTATGTTGTTGTGGCTCTTTTCCTTTCGCTTCACTCTCACCATTCGGAATAGAAAGAGCTAGTATGGAACGAGCCAGTAGCACAACAACAGAACCATTCAGTAGCTGAAATGAACGCTGATGGCATGGAGTAGTGGGCGGAGCTGCTCTTGATCGTAATTGGGTGCTTCGTTTCCATTTGTTTTTGAGCCCCAATAGCAATATATCCACTGTGCTTGAGGACAGAACCAGCTTGTTTAACAACGGCGTTTGCATACAAAATGAATTCTGAACATGTCTTGAGGACATCGCCCTGACTGTACCCAAACTATCCCCAGTCTCAAGTAAAAATAGTATTGAAAAAAGTGTAGTGATGACGTTTAAACTAACTTAGATCTTTCGGGAAATCATGCTCCAATGCGTTCCTCACGATGATGAAAGTGGAATTATTGGCAACGTCGTTCAGATCCATTTTCGGGGCAAGAAGCTGCAGTGCACACACCAGGCGATAAACCTGAGAATTAAACGTTTTGATTTTTATTTTGCTCTCTGAAAATCCCCCTTTCAAAACTGATTATGAAGTTCGGAAAATTCATAACAATAATAATGTAAATGAAAAGGAAAAAAGAAAATGTAAATGAATAATGAAAATAAACCATCGAATGAAAAAGACATAAAAAGTAGTATCGATTCAATAGCATAGAATCGCGAAGCGAACCTCACGTGGAATATTCGGTGGACAAAATTCATCGCTTTCCGTTGAATATCATATGGGCAAAATCAGTAATTTATTTTGCTTTGGTAGAATCACGCTAAGATCGGGTGAAACAGCCATCAATCCATCACTCAAGCAGACAAGAACAACTATCTTAAACTGGTCTAAGAAGTAAATCACAACATCCACTAGTGAGTACGACCTGAAGGGCGGAGGAACAGAGGGGCCAATTTGCATTTTTGGGGTATGCGACTAAGGAACTAATTTTTAAATTCCACTGGAGCTGTTTGGCTTGGCGAGAGCATCTTGCTGGTTCGCATCAATGCGGTCTTTTGTGGGGCTTGTAAACTTCGTACACTATGCAGTATCAGAGCCCGCTGACGTCTAGGAGGGAGTCCTAGCAGATTGAATTGTGAGACGCGTTACTTTACATACGAAATTAGCAAAGCAACCTAGGCGAAATTGAGCAGACCCTTCCAGCGACCTTTCAGCGCCTTCACACTTAATTAGAAAAGATCTAGCTAACTGTTCCTTCCTACCAAATATAAAGAATGAAGGCAGCATAGTGGGGCGGCTGAACCGCTGAACTACACTGCTCAAAAGAGAACGAAAAAAAATGTGTCGTCTAACGATATATAGCTTATAATAATGAGGGGCTCGGTAATATGGTGTCCATTTTAATAGACTTTATTGAAATCACATAAAAGAACATGGGCATCAAAATAAAGGAATTGCGCCAAATGCCGAAAATTGTCACAGAAATGAGCCTCAGGGCATGATGAGAGCAAAATGACTTGTCTAAGGACGCGTAAATCAAAACCCAAGAATTTTTTTTATTTGATGACTCTGGAGAGATCCAGCTGAAGTCACTGGCATGTAGTGGGCTGAACAGGATACCATCGATCGCAGAAGAAAACGGAGATACAGGTTCCTTATCGACAGATTTCATCAATTTTCCCTTTACAGTTGTCGAAACAGGAAGGTTTACAGTGGAACTAGAGCAGAAAAACATATCATCCATCTATAGCCCCATATCCATATCCTATCTTAGCGCATTTTTAGCCCTGATGAAAACGTCCTCGTGCGCATTCTAGAAATGGTGAAAAAAGGCAAAATATGACACCTAACAGCGGAGTCCTGGACCTGGGTCCTTCTATCAGCTCAGAAGAATCTTCCTATGTGTTACCATGCGCTTTTATGGCAGAGCAAAATTGACAGTTATGCGTAATAAGGACGTCAATACGCCTCAAGGGGAATCAATTTTTGTAACATTTTCATTGAGTTGGCAGATTTCCCCTAGCTGAAGGGCACTCAACTCTGACAAGTCAATAGCATAGGGGAACAAAAACGTGAAAAGTAACTCACGAAGTCAATCAAGTTTCCAACAACCGTGTCTTTTTTCTTCGTCAGCAAATGTTCCAAGGATACGCCGAAAACCCTTAACACCAAAATTTGAGACTTCAAGGAGGAATACAGAGTTACACAACGTCGTACCTGGGATAATACTGCGCCATGACAGGAATAAAGTAATCTCTACCGTGTTCGAGATTCATGACAAGAATATCTTGCAACTTTGTTCCAGTCAGCTCCCATGCAATTTCCTTGTCGATCACGACGGTCAAGGAGATCTACAATATCCGATTTTTTGGGCTAGCATCATAATGGTCGCCAGCCAGCGGTCACAATCTGTGACATCGAAAAAGAAAGAACCGACGAGATTACAAAAAATAGGTAGGTAAGGATCTATAGAATGGGGAGGGGGTAGAGGATAGAAGACCACGAACTCGATCTTTAAAAAGAAGAGGAGGGAAAGTCGGCTGAGTCGCCACGCATCTGCACCTTTAGCGACTTTCTCCCATCCCACACAAGGCACAGACTGGGAAAAATACCACAGGAAAACCAAAAAAGATCAGAAAATAAGAGCTCGGCTCACGGTAGCGGATAACGAATGGATCAGCTGTGTGCCACGTTACAATAGTTGTTGGGGACAAGTTATAGACACTCCCATCCATTCAAAAAAAGGAATTTCTATCCGGCACAAAAAAAAGGATAGATGCGGAAGTTTACTCCCAAAACGGCTGTGAAATAAAATTCTGAGCGAAGCCAACAATACCTGAGTGGATTGGCCCACTGGAATCACGTAGTGTGGTGGCGTAATTTGAAGCCATTTCGCACAGATTCCACGCTCTGGTCGAACAATGAACTTGAAGCGAACTGTCGACTTTCCGGTGTTGTTTATCGTTATCACGTGGGTGGTTGGCTCCAGGAAATGTACCTCTCCAAAGTCGACCTGATATGATCATATGTCATCATATGTTAAACTACACA